ACTTCGACTACAACTTGAAAATATAACAACCTCCATTCTCCAGGCGGGCTCCTGACTTCTATTATGACTTAAAAATATAACATCTTCATTCTCCAGGTGGGCTCCTGACTTCGACTACAACTTGAAAATATAATAACCTTCATTCTCCAGGCGGGCTCCTGACTTCAACAACTTCTTAAAAATATAACACCTCCATTCTCCAGGCGGGCTCCTGACTTCTATTATGACTTAAAAATATAACACCTCCATTCTCCAGGCGGGCTCCTGACTTCGACTACAACTTGAAAATATAATAACCTCCATTCTCCAGGCGGGCTGCTGACTTCAACAACTTCCTAAAAATATAACACCTCCATTCTCCAGGCGGGCTTCTGACTTCAACTACTTCTTAAAAATACGTTCTATTGTCGTTGTTCCTTCCTGCCTCCTGAACCATTTTCCTTCTAACTTGAATTACCTTCTTTCAGAACTGTTTCCCTCAAAAACTGGTGTTTCATTCCTCTGAAAACTTCTGGGGATAACACCGGTGTTTCATTCGAAAATATGTTATTTTCCTCCTTCAAAGACTACTTCCCTTAAAGTTGGTGTTTTCCTTCCACTGGAATTACTTCTCTTAAGACTTGTGTTATCTTCCTCCCGAAATTGCTTTCTTTAAAACTTGTATTGCCTTTTTCCAAAAACTGTTGGGGATATTGCTTCCCTCAAAACTTGTGTTAGACTTCCAGAAAATTTTCGAAATGAAAGAAAATTTTCTGTCGCAGTTTGACAATCTTTCTTGTGGCATGTCTTTCCGTTATCAATAACGTTTCCTGTCCCTGCTTCAAATCAAAGAAAATTTGTTATTTTAAAACCTGGGGGACGTTCCTGCTGGGGATGGTTTTCCCTTTCGCTCTTTTCCATGTTTTGCGTTGTTCGACCATCTTGCAACTTGGCTAATAACTCCCGAGCTTATTGATGATTCTGTATTCACCAACTTCTCCACCGCTGTTTTCCACCTTTGCTCCATACTATCCTGAAATCTTGGACCAATCCATCATTTGGCCTTATAATGACGTCTTTCTTGTCCCGTCACATTATCTTTAGCCTGTCTTATCCCCATTTACCTTGCCCCATGTTGGCGACTGGTAGTTGGCTTTGAAAATCCTTCTTAAAACAAACTACCATAAATATCTTTAACCAAAAGAAATGAAAGATGATGACTTCAAAAGATAAAAAGAAAAATCTTCCTAAATAATTATTTGAAGAGAAAAAAGGAAAAGGACTTATCTGAATGGTGTAACCGATCTCAATGATCATGTCGTGCATTTCGGCTTAATCAACCCAGTCTATTGTATCACTAAATCTTTCTAATGGTCTTACTTTGCATTTCAAAAGGTCCCGCAACCCAATTCTTTTGCCGAATCAACATCTTTGTTCTGCTTGATGCCTCGACGGATCATTTCTGTAAACCTTACCTCGTTTGCCCACTTTCAATTCCCTGTCACCTTATAGTGCCCTTCGAGGGGTTTTCACTAATAAGACTCTCTCATTTTATTTCTCTCAACTTCCGTCGCCCTATGGTGCCTGTGAAGGTTTTCACCAATAAGACTCTCTCATTTTATTTCTTTTCAGCTGGGGATTGGGGTGTTACTGACAAGATTCCCTCATTTACTTTCTTCTCTGCTGGGGATTCTCTCATTTCATTTCTTTTCTGCTGGGGACCAGAGTGTTACTCCAGACCATTTGCCCGACTTGGCACTTCTCGGATACTGATCGGGAGGTCTTGTGAATAGCAATATGGGTTCCTGGTGTACGACTAAAGAAAAATTTAAAATAATTTTGATGGGTAAAACGNGGGACCTATGAGAATGGCGAGCAGCAAGTTGCCTAAAGGCCGGCATTTGAATGGTGATCACATTGTGTATGATATTGATGTTAAGTTGCCCAGTGAGGTGCAGCCTCAGCTCGAGGTTACTCCTATTACAAAGTATGGGTCGGATCCGGGTCTTGTATTGGGTCGGCAGATTGCAGTTAACAAAACTTACATATGTTATGGATTGAAATTGGGGGCTATACGGGTTCTTAACATTAATACTGCCTTGAGATCGTTGCTTAAAGGCCTTGCGCAGGTTGGATTTCTTAGCTTAAATACACACAGTGCAAAGACATTTTTACATTAACCTGTTGTAGTAGATTAATTATCATTTATACTAAATTACCCGTTAATCCTTATCAAGAGATTACCTGTAATTACTTAATAAATGCGGGAAAATAATTTGAATCTGTTGTACGAACCTTATAGGAAGAATGTTACAGCTTATGTTTGTTGCCGGGTGCAATATCTTAAGATTGGTGTTTTATCTGACATGCATTTCAGTTATGGAAAGACAATAATTTGGTCGAAGGACATTGTTCTTATGCAGAAGTTTTGATAATCACAATTTCATTCATAGTCAATGTGCCAGTTGCGTGTGAGATAGAAATATGCTTTCTTTCGTAATTTCGTAGGATTTGAGAATAAGCTTAAAAAGGATTCAACTTTGTAGCCACTCTCTGATATCAGGTATAAAGCTGTAGTCCGTGTTTGGGGTTCTATGACTTTCAACTGGAAGACTTCCACTGTACTTTCAAGTTAAGAATTTAAGACCATCCTATCATACTTGGAGCTGCTAAAAATAGTTGTCCTTGACTTCTGGTTAGATAAACAATAGTTATTCATGACTTCGGCATTTGTTTATTACGTGGTACATATTTTGAAGTGAGTGTTATTTTATCGATTGATTAATGTACAAATCCGTTGGTACTAGATCTTGTTTGGTTTAAATAGAAATAATTGATCTTGTGAGAAGTATAGAAATTTGATCTTTATAATCTGCTTTCTCCTTCCCTTAAAAAAACCATATTTTATTCATCTGGGGACCTTGTTTGTTCTTTCAGAGGGTCACAGACATGGCTTTCTTTGCAGAGGATGTTCATCTCTTGGCTAGGTAGGGGCTCCGTTCTTTTGTACTTTCTACTTATGCAGTAAGTAGTCTATGTTTCTAATTTGGTTTTGTCTCAGTGCGAGTATTGATGGCCGGGTTTATATATGGAAAATTACCGAAGGACCAGATGAAGAAGATAAGCCACAAATTACAGGAAAGATTGTCATTGCTGTTCAAATTGTGGGTGAAGGGGAATCTGTGCACCCACGTGTTTGTTGGCATTGTCATAAACAAGTATCGACCTATCTCTCTATTTGGGTGTTGTTTTCTTCTGTTGATGTTGTGCTTAACTTTTCTTATGTTCTCTTCTATAGGAAATTCTCGTGGTTGGAATCGGGAGACGCATTTTGAAAATTGATACCACTAAAGTGGGAAAAGGTTCAGTTTTTTCAGCTGAGGAACCTCTCAGGTGTCCTGTTGACAAGTTGGTTGATGGGGTACAACTTGTTGGTACCCACGATAGAGAAGTGACTGATTTATCTATGTGCCAGTGGATGACCACGCGTTTGGTATCTGCTTCAGTGGATGGCACGGTTCGTGAGGGTTTTGGTCTCTGTTGTCTTTTAATCTATTTGATGCAATGTATGTGTGTGTATATATACTTATATTTTACTTCTAAAAAAATGGCTTGATGTAATGTTTCTTGGCATAACCTCTATGTAACTGTTCGTATAAATCCACATGTTTTCGCTGTGAAAATGATAACTCAACCAAAAACTCAGACCCCAACGTGTTATTCACTAAATTTTTAGAGTCATGTTGCTTGTATTTGATGACCGATCTTAAAAAAAGAAAAAGTTTGCTTGTATTTGATGAGATGGGACTCATGTATATTTTAAAAAACTACTTACTCCTAATTGACGTTTAGAAGTTTCTAAGAATAGCATGTAAAATCCTTTGGTTTCTGAGGTGTTGTTCTTTTCAAGGATACTTGCATGTATTAGTTCCTTGGGTTATATGCATTCTTTATCTTTTATGTTTTGGACCCATTTAAAACTCTGAAAATGAAACAAACAGGATAAAGTATGATCCCGATTGCAAAAGGTTGATTTGTTGTATTGCTACTTGGCAAAATTTGGATGCTCTCTATTGACTGGTGCGTGTGGATTTTATCGTGATTTCCAGATAAAGATATGGGAAGACCGGAAGCCCCTTCCTATAGCAGTTCTCAGGCCTCATGATGGTCACCCTGTTAATTCTGTTACCTTCTTGGCTGCTCCACATCGTCCAGATCACATCATACTCATCACTGGGGTATGTGCTAATGCATTTTGCGCTGGTCACTTTTTGTCAGAACATCAACCGTTTTTTCTGACTAGTAGTTTTGTTTCCTAGAAAATAACATATTCTCAGATGCCATTTACTTGCCGTCCATGCTAATTTGCTCAAAACTGTTTCTCAAATGCCATTTATTGCCCTAAAAAAGATCATATTCTTGGAGACCAGTTATTCTTTGTTCAGAATTTCAATCACAACTCTATTTTTTCTTCCCCATGAGTTTGCCTTGTGGTGGTTCTTGAGTTTGAGTTGACCATTTAAAGGTGTTCAGGGTCCTCTTAATCGGGAGGTAAAGATATGGGCTTCAGCAAGTGAAGAAGGCTGGTTGCTTCCTAGTGATGCTGAGTCATGGCGCTGTACACAGACATTGGAGCTGAAGAGTTCAGCTGAAGCTCAAGCTGGAGAGGCATTTTTTAACCAAGTTGTAGCCTTATCTCAAGCAGGTTTACTTCTACTAGCAAACGCAAAAAAGAATGCTATATATGCTGTGCATCTGGAGTATGGCCCAAACCCGGTGGCAACCCGGATGGATTACATAGCAGGATTTACAGTTACCATGCCAATTTTGAGTTTCACTGGGACGAGTGATCTATTGCCCAATGGTGAACAGATTGTTCAGGTGTATTGTGTACAGACGCAGGCCATTCAGCAGTATGCTTTGGACTTGTCCCAATGCTTGCCACCTCCAACAGAGAATGTGGTTTTCGAAAGGACGGAATCCGGTGTTTCCCGTGATGCTGCTAGCATTGAAGGATCTGCTCCTGCTGACCCCCCTAGAAGTAAACAGCAGGAGCTTCCTTTATCTAGTTCTGCACCCAAATCATCTGTACATGAAAGTGGCTTTGAGATATCACCAACAGCTAGACATCCTAGTACTGCACCTACTGAATCGGCCCCCTCTCAAGAATTAGCTTCCTCCATTATAGAAACTAAATCGTCTACTTTTCCCACTGTAACTAGTGATAGTGACATTGCCCCCATTGCATCACCTCCGCCTCCTTTGAGTCCTACATTGTCTCGAAAACTATCTGGTTTTAGAGGTCCATCAAACAGCTTTGAGCGTGGCACCTCTGATAATGAGCAAGTTGGGGATCCAAAAGTTGTTGAATATTCAGTTGATCGGCAAAAGGAGGGCACAACTCCAAATGTGTCTGATGTTACTTCCTTGGATGATGAACCTAAAAATGATGAATCTAAACAGTCACAGAATGATGTTCCCTCAGGTATCAGTCCTCCTGTTAAGTTCAAGCACCCAACTCATTTGGTGACTCCTTCAGAAATATTGATGGCTAGATCATCCTCTGAGGTTAACATTGTTAACGAGCAGAAAAGTGAGTCAGAATTGAATATCCAGGATGTTGTAATTAACAATGACGCCCGTAATGTTGAGGTGGATGTTAAAGTTGTTGGTGAAGCAAGATTCAGTCAGAAAACTGATGTTGGCTCTCAAGAAGAACTTCATTCTTTTGTGTCAGAAAATAAGGAGAAAGCCTTTTGCTCTCAAGCATCTGATCTTGGAATAGAAATGGCTCGAGAATGTCGCGCTTTATCTCCTGAAACCTATACTGTGGAGGAATCTAGGCAGTTTGATGGGGCTGGTAGAAGTGAGGGACCGTCGCAACCTTCAAGTACACTGGAGGAAGATCGTGACTCTGCAAAGGAGACCTCTGAAAAGGATCTGGACTCAACAATGTCGGTCACTGTTCATCAAGCACCAGCTCCCACTGCAAAAGGGAAAAAGCAGAAGGGGAGGAATACTCAAGTATCTGGGCCGTCATCATCATCGCCTAGTGTTTTCAATTCAACAGATTCTTTAAATGAGTCTGGTCTCAGCTCAAGTACCCCTTCTGTGGAAGCTGCTTTCTCACAAATTCTGTCCATGCGTGAGATGCTAAATCAGGTGCTTCTTTTAGTCCTAAGAGCATATGTATTTGGATATCTGAAGTTTAGTGTTTTCCTCATTTAATTTTTTTGTTGTGTGTGTGGGTGTGTGTATTTTGTTGCTTAGCATTAGTATATCATGACGGTTCATGCATTAGCTTTTAGATTGTTTCATGTTACTAAGTAATTGATTTCATCATTTTTATCATTCATTCTTTGCTTGATATGCCACCTGTAGCTGTATTTCTACTTTCTGTTAGGGTTGTTTTCCCATCTACTAATTAACAGGTTTTTGCAATGGTCCTTGCCCTGGCTGATCATCCTCCTGAAATTCGTTGAACAATTGTTTCAAGTTTTAAATTTTTGGTGTTTTTTTATTTGTGTTCACCTTCTGGAACTACTTTATCAAAATATTCATTATCAACTCTTCAACAGCTCAAATGGTGGAAGCTGAACTTTTTGTATATTCTTCTCCGTGTGGGAACAGCATTCATGCTATTCAAAAAAATTATGTCATGCATTGAAGATATATCGAGGATGCTGACAAGTTCATCCTTACTGCAGTTACACGTTACCAAAAAAATATTGAGTTAATTACGTTACTAATCCAACAAAAAACCTCATTTTAATTTTGTTCTGTCAAGATCTTATTCTTATGTGTTCTCTTTTTTCCTCTGTTTGCTGTTTCATGTAGCTTCTGACTATGCAAAAAGATACACAAAAGCAGATGGAAATGATGGTTGCTGTCCCAGTGACCAAAGAAGGAAGAAGACTTGAGGCTGCCCTGGGACGGAGCATGGAAAAATCTGTCAAGGCCAATTCTGATGCTTTATGGGCTCGTTTACAAGAAGAGTGTGCAAAACAGGAGAAGTCTCTTCGTGATCGTACACAACAAATGGCCAATTTGATCTCTAACTGCTTAAACAAGGACATGCCAGGGCTGATTGAAAAATTAATGAAGAAAGAACTAGCAGCTGTTGGACAAGCTGTGGCACGCAGTATTACCCCTACCATTGAGAAAACTGTATCAGTTGCAATTTCAGAAGCATTCCAGGTTAATAATATGAAAATCTGAACCTTTGCTTGTATGGATTTGTTTGTGGTGTGACTGAATGTTATGGTGCAGAGAGGAGTTGGTGACAAGGCAGTGAACCAACTGGAGAAAGCAGTAAACTCCAAACTTGAAGCTACTGTAGCTAGACAAATCCAAGCACAATTCCAGACCTCTGGCAAGCAAGCTCTGCAGGTAAGCATGGGTTGCTTTTTACTGAGCTAATGCCACTAATGTGGGTATAAATTCCTCGCATTGTCATGCTCATTTTTTCCCCTAATGACTGGTTTATAATGCTAGATTCTAGCTTATCTTTTCATCTAGCATAGTGGCCCTAAGAGTATAACTTCCTGATCCTCTTAACTTCTGCCCTTCCTGCTGCCTCTGTGCCACCCCAGAAATTCAGAGATATTGTACATTTCAAATCAGTGTTGAATGTGTCTTATTTAATGGCGTGGGAACTGTCATGCAGGAAACACTGAAATCTACTTTGGAAGCTTCAGTGATCCCTGCCTTCGAGATGTCATGCAAGGCAATGTTTGAGCAAGTAGATTTAACATTCCAGAAAGGCATTGCTGACCACTCGGCTGCTGCGCAACAGCAATTTGAGTCCGTGCATTCCCCGTTGGCACTTGCTCTAAGAGTATGGAACTTTTCTAATTTTATTTATCCTTGTGGTTTCTTGCTAATCTTTGTTAGACTGTCGTTTCTCTGCTTCTAGTTTATCTATACTACATCAAGTATATTATCCCTTGGTTGTAACCAAGGGAATAATTCTTCCACTTCTTGTGTTGACTTATTCTTTATCCCTTACTGTGTTTTGAATTCGGCAAGATACTTTTCTTCGTTTCTATGTTGCTCGGACTCTTCGAAAATATCATCGGGTGCGTGCCGGATTCTCCAAAAGCAGTGACTTTTGGAGAATCCGACACGGGTGCGGCAGTATTTTGAAGAGTCCGCGCAACATAGCTTCGTTTGATCTCTTTCATACCATCTTTTGGTTTAGTTTGGTATAGTGGGTTCAAGGGTGCACGTGTTTAGTTGTTTAAATCCTGTAGTGCTCTACAATGATATTCTCAGCCCAAGGTTTTCATGTTTTTGCTCAATTTTATCTTTGATGAACAACTTATTGAATGATGACTCACTGATTACAAACTATACACTGATCTCCGCAAATGATTGCCTTTCTTTCCACCATGCAGTCCGAAAGTGGTTAAGGAAAGTTTCAATACAAATTAATATAACATAAAAAAATAAGCCATGCTCTCTTTTTACCATCCTCATTTCTCAATACAACATTTTCACTATCATATTCTCCAAAAAGGCGAAAACACAGGATTGAATATAATATACCGCATGATACTCTATCCTCATTTCTCAATACAACTTTTTGCAATATTATATTCTCCAAAAGCACGTCATTAAACTTAATACACCACATGTTCCGCTCCACAAATAAGACAACTCATATTAGTTATTACATTGTATGTTCCGCAAACAAGACGAATCACCCTTTTCAATTGCCTTAATTGACGCGCAGAGTTAAATTAAAATAGTTAAAATGGAAAGAGGGAAGTGGTTCTATCTTTGTTTATGTTCTTCTTTCCTCTCAACCTACTTTGTAACCTGGTGGATGTGTTGATATAAAAGATAAAAAAATGATTAAATAATGATGAAGTTTGGAAACTAGTGAGCTCTTATCCTCTTTGGAATTAGACACTCATTGGACTCAATTTTCAGGATGCCATAAATTCAGCGTCGTCAATGACTCAGACATTGAGCGGAGAGCTGGCTGATAGTCAGAGAAAGTTGCTTGCTCTCGCAGTTTCTGGAGCAAATCCCCAGTCAGCAAATCCGCTGGTTAGCCACATGAATAATGGATCATTGCTGCATGAGAAGGTTTGTCCTATATTCCTTGGTGGAGCAAAGAATTAACTGCTCATATTTTGCTATTAAGAATTTGTTGCTTAAATTTTCCTGCCTTTTGTCTTGCTTTACTGTACTCATTCATATATTTATGTCTGCAATAGATTGAGACACCTCCAGATCCAACCAAAGAGTTATCTAGACTGTTAGCGGAGCACAAGTATGAGGAAGCATTCACTGCAGCGTTACAAAGAAGTGACGTATCAATTGTCTCGTGGTTATGCTCTCAGGTATGCTGTTTACATTGGCATTTACGTACTGATAGGATTATCATGTACTTTAAGGTCAGTTGCTGAGGAATATTTTTTAATGGGAAAAAGGGAGATTAATAGGGTCCAGGAGAAGAGAAACAGTTGGGGAAGGGAGGAGGAAGTAAGGGGGCATCATAAAATTGACAGTGTTTTTGTACAAAAACAAACAACTCAGTTCTGTCATTACTTTTTGGAGCATATTATTGGCTTGTTTATTAAAAGTTCTTACCTCGAACCTGGCTGACCATTGACATCCAATAAAATTGGGACCATACTGAGAAGAAAGTTCTTATCTCGAATCTATCCAAAGAAAAAGTTCGTAGCTCAAAATGAAGCATTTCAAATTTCTGTTATGGTAATAANCTTGATCATTTCTTGGTGTCTTGTACCAGGTTGATTTGCCAGGGATTTTGTCCTTGAATCCTCTCTCTCTGAGTCAAGGAGTGCTCCTTTCACTTCTTCAGCAGTTGGCGTGTGATATTAGCAAAGAGACGGTCCAAAAACTATCCTGGATGAGGGATGTGTTGACTGCCATAAATCCAACTGACCCGATGATCGCAGTGCATGTGCGGCCCATTTTTGAGCAAGTATATCAAATATTACACCACCGCAGAAGTATTGCTACAACCCCCGCTGCTGAACTTTCAAACATTCGGCTGATTTTGCATGTAATCAATTCGATGTTGATGAGTAAATGATCAAAAATATGATCATGTTTGGTGAATATACAAGCCTGTACAAATCCTAGGAATATCCATGGAAAGGCAAGTCGTACTGTAAAATTGAAGTCTGCACCAACCTCCTATTATCTCTTTTTGTTTTACTTTTTCTAGGTAAAACCGTAATCAGTTGGGTGAATTTTCCTGTTGTAGAGACTTAAGCACAAAAAAAAAGGACAGAATAGATTTTTTGAAGTTGTAGAGTTAGTATTTTTGGGTGAGTTTTCCGTATATACCGAATTTTGACTTGTACATTGTTATTATACTCCAATTTTAAGCGGGAACTCAAAAGTGCTGTTTTTATTACTCTTCTAATGATCCTATTTGTGCGAGGAAAACTCATTTTTTATTTTTGTTTACTTTTGTAGTTGAAGTCTGGTCGTTTATGGTGGACTGTCATTTTGAGTTCCGTTTTATCTTTTAGAATTTGGATTCCCATTAGTGCTTTATGCTTGCCTGGACTGTCAACTTTTATCTACATCTTTTAAGTTTTTAATATGATGTGTTATTGCACTTGTGGGATCACACACTGGTATGTTGTATTCTTAGCTAATATATCCTTCTGTATGAGCTAAGTTAGAAAGCTCCCATTTATGAACCAAAATTTCTAAAGTGATGTGCTATTCTTGAGCAATATATTGCACGAGCAAAGTAAGAATGCCCTACCTTATCTATAAAACTAAGTTTCCTCTTACTTACTAAGTGCCATAGCTAGAGGGTTCTTTTTTATTTAAGTAAATCATATTGTAAAATTAACTCTACAGGAGAACTCAAGCTTGAAATCGTGAATTTGAGTTTGAGTTTTGCTCATTTCATTTACAGATGAAAACCTTCGTCCTTTACTTTAATAGTCGAGGATGGGGAGTATCTATGTCTAGACCTTAACCCACATTTTGATTTTCATTACATACAAGTTTTTCCTCGGGATTTGTAAAGGTTATTAGATCTTTCGCTGATTTATTTAATTTTAGATGATACATCTCGCAAACCATAAAATAAATAGAAATTAAGATGAACAAAACCAAATTAGCTCTTTGTTCGTTATAAAAAAAAAAAAAAAAAAAAAAAAAAAAAAAAAAAAAAAAAAAAAAAAACCTAAGAGCTAAGCCATCCCCCCCACTTTGGTTTCTTCTTCTCCAAACCTTC